ATTTTTCAATTTGACGACTCTGTATATAATACAGGGAGAAAAAAACAGCCCTTGCTGAGTTTCTTGCCGGTTCTTCTCAGTACAAGGTCTCCCGCCGTAGATTTGCGAACCGATGGCGTAGCTTTTCGACATTCACAAGTGCTTGTAACAGCCTAGACTGAATAAACGATATTGAATTTTGAATTTTTTTGAATAGACTATATGCGTGCCAAAAATCATCCCAATCTGTTCAATAGATTTTGCGTGATTAAGCAGCAACTATACAAACTTCACATTTATTTATTATATTAGTAGGATAAACTTCGACAGTGAGCAGTAAAAACATGAAATGGTCCAATCAGCCATCAATTAAAAATAAATGTCAGAAATTTCAACATCCATCAATACGACTATATTAAAAAAAAAGAATTCATCATTTTTTTAAACAAAAGCACCAGCACAAGCTACTGACATGAAATAATAAAATATGCCTTTATTAATATTCCTTTGTTAACGAAAAATCGAAAACAAACAGATTACGAGTGAAATTTTAATTACAACTTTGAATTTTCATGTAAGCGTACAAATTTAAATTTCCAATCTCCAAAGGGTCCTTGTTTGCGATATTCAAATAATATTAGTTCGTCATTCCCCGGCTCTGTTTCAATTAACATCTAAATTAAACTAATTTTGACACAACTATGAAGTCTGTTGTTTGTGACAATAAGGAGATTGTAGTGATTAACTTTGAGCTGAGCCCCAGAGTAAAGAGGGTTAATTAATTCGCATCATACACCGTTATAGGATTAGTCGAAATTTGATAATAATTGATTCTGAAAAAAATCTATAAAATGTCTATAGATTCGGGAATATTTGACAAACATTATATCAACTTTTTTTCACTTAGTCTTCATATTGAAATGAAAGTGTTAAATATTAGATAATGAAATGTAATTATGTTATAGAGGAGCTCGTTGGCGCCAGTGGTTAGCGCGTTCGACTGCGGTCGTTGAATTTGAGCAACTTTCGCAGTGGTCGGTCATTGGATAGGTGACCAAAAATTTACTATCTCGAGCTCTTAACTGCTTCGGAAGGCACGTTAAGCCGTTGGTCCCGGCTGCATCTGCAGTCGTTAGCACCCACCAATCCGCACTGGGCCCGCGTGGTGGGTCATGGCCCGATCTCCCTAATTCATTCATAGGGTAGGCCTGTGCCCCAGCAGTGAGGACATTAATAGGTTGATGATGATGATGAATTATGTTACGAGTTTTTCCATTGGTTAGTATTTTTATAGATTCAGTAACTCTTCTATTCGACTTCTATTAGATTATCCAGCACCAATCATGGCATCCTTAAACTGAAAGCCCCTTTTTCCTGTAGTATCGGAATACTTTAAGATTAGTTATGAACCATAACCCCTTTTTTTTAATTGCCACTGTCAAGATACAAAGTAAGTTAATATAAATTATATATTAAGTAGATTATCTATTTGTCAGTGGTGCATGTTTCAAAGTTTCACTATTATCTAATTACATGGATTTTTAAAATTAAAAAAAAAACAAAGTGGTCTTTGCTCTCATATAAACAAACCAAACCTTAATTGCATCCACTTGGGATGTCAATATTTAAGCAATGATACGAGATTTATATTTAGAAAACGCCACACAGCTCATTTCTGTGTTATCTACTTCCAGTTTAAGTTATTTGAATATAAAGTAGGTCGACGCTGCTTTAGATGAAAACAACTAAAAAAATTCAGAGAAATATTCCGGCCACTAGCAATAAAATATATGACTACTACGCATCAATTGCTCTCGGCCTTCTCTCTGGTACGTTTATATGTGGTAGATTCTATTACCTCGCAAAACGAGCCAGTAGTATTCTAGAGAGCCCATTTGAAATCCACAACCATTCGCTTAAGTTATGGGAGACGGGCGAATCCCTTGTATTTAAGGTATGAATATTTCATGCAATGTTTACACAGAGATGAATGAATTTTCTTATAATCTTACATGCAAAACGTTCCTTCATTGGTAGTAGTGTTTTGTTTGGTAAAAACTCTTAATATAATCTCCTTTTCCTCCGACATTTTAAACTCTTCAGCCTATCTTTAAGATTCTGTGATGTAACATAATAGCCTCGTAACATATCTCCGACTTCGCAACCTTTAACCAATTCCACGGTATAGGTACGTATACACCATTTTAAGGGTTCTTACTCTGAGATCCTGGGTTCGAATCCCGCTAGTTTACATTGGAAATTCCACCTTTATTTTTATGACTTATAGCTATATATTTCTTTTGCTCCTGAGAACTATGATGGCGCTATGGCCAATAATAATGAAGACCTTGCCTGGCCTCTGCCCTGGATCTGGCTGCTTGGTGCGAGTCTAATTGTTTTGTCCTCAACCCAAAAAAGACTAATTTCAAGCGGCATTAGATGCCCATAAACTCCAAAATGTTCCATTGAATATTATTGGGTATGGTAAAAAATGCACTTGAAAACGAAAAAACTCGTGGCTCTGAAACATCATCTCAATTGAGGTAGAAGGGGTGGTGATTTAATCACCCATGATCTGTGATAAACCTGTTCAGCTCTACAATTGTTACTGAATAACAAAAAACAGATATGGAAATAATAAATAATCAACCTAGTATCCATACAACTAAACCAAGTGAAATATTTCTAACATAAGAACCATTTTAGCTTACCACAAACGCTTCTTAGACGCACTTGCACATATAACGCAGTAATACAAAAACAATACCAATTTGGTACGAGCTCGTTCTAAATTCATGTTCTCGAACGGAATAAAAACATACAAAAACAATACGGCAACCGTTTATTGGCCGTAACTGCTCGTGAATTGCACCAAATCGCCACTCGTACTGTCATAATCATAAAGAATAGAGATAAAAATGCTGCATCAGGAGCGAGGTTGAAAGGAACACTGTGGAGAATAAAGTAATTCCACGTTGGCCTGGATTACGGGAACAATTTATGATTTGAGTACCTTCGCGGAGATATGGAAGTCGTATCGGTACAAGAATTATTGAGACTTTTCGAGAGTGAATACGGAATGATGTACTGTCGACCCCTCATTGGTAGACACAATAAGCTTCTAACGCAGTGATTTGAAATATTTTTGAAGATAGTAAAAGATCATCCTACGAGTATCTATGTGAAGTTATTAAGAAAAAGACGATGAATCAAATGATATTGCTCTGGGTATAAATCAAAATACATCATTCAATCAGACCCCATCCCATGATGTCTAGTATTTGGCCGCTTTTATCTTAAAGTACTTCCACAGCAGGGAGCTACATATCGGCTCTTGTTTTATATTATAAAATATAAGGAATTTTTTGGAGAAGAAAACATGGAGGGTTTTTAGGGTTCCGTAGTCTTGACAAGGAACGCTTATAGTTTCGTTATGTCCGTCTGTCCGTCCCCGGTTTTGCTTGGAAACTATTAGCACTAGAGAGCTGTAATGCAGGTGAACAAGTAATGTATATTTAGCATTATGTAATGAAAGGTGACTTCATGAATCATCTCTGTAGTTTTTTTTTCATCTTGACGACTCTGTAAATAATAAAACAGGGAGAAAAGAAACAGCTCTTGCTGAGTTTCTTGCCGGTTCTTCTCAGTAAAAGGTCTCCCGCCGTAGATTAACGAACCGATGACGTAGCTTCTAGACATTCATGAGTGCTTTGCTACAAGCACTCATGAATGTCGAATTGTGTGCGATATTGTTGAATAGGTCCGTTAAAATTACTTAGGGGTTTCGAAAAAAAATCTTCAATTTAGGTATCCGTTTGCGAAATTATGAACTTTAAAGTGCTAATTTTTGTTCGAGTAGGGCGTCCTCCCGCCCGTCTCTAAAAGCTAAACCGCATCATCCCGTTCTCAGTGTATTATCGCTTCAGATGAAGTTTGTAAGGGCCTTCTGGCCATAAGCATGAACTACGGGTGTGTTTTAGTTAGTAAGAGTCTGACATAACCTTGCAGCCGGCTATAGGGTATCACTGAGGATTTCACAGCCACTCCCTGGAATAAAACAAAAAAAAATCGGCGGTTATCATTCATATTTAAAAAAATACAATATCGAATTGATTTTTAGTCTGAAACGCAGTTTGACTTTGATTTAGTTATTTAAGTTAAGATACATAGATTGATATTAATTGATTTTTGTAATTTACGATACAGAAAATGAATACTCCTGCTCAAATATATTGTGGTAACTACAGGCAACTACGCAACCCTAGACTTCTACATAAAAAACCCCGTATACTTTATACTTTAAATGTTAATTTCAATAATTTGAGGTAGTTTAGAATTGATAAAAACATCAAAAGATTACAGTTCGAAATGATTTAAATAACTTTCTGACTGTTCCTCATAATCAGATTTACCGCAAATGCAAAAGCGATTGAAGAACAGTCAATCTGTAATGGTTAATGGTCGTGTCATCTACACGCAAACCACATTCAAGATGCAATTATATAGTGGAATGAAATCCTGTGGCATAGACCGCTACTTGAGGTTGCGGCGTCTATACTATATCGAGAAGCTTAGTTCTTGGAATTTAAATTAAGAGTAGGAGAAAAAAAAAACAATATAAATCTGTAAGACCCTCAGATCGTAAGCATTTAACTAATCATAATGAATTTTTGGTTTAAGATGAAGATCATATATGGAACTATGATGCAGGTAATAGAGCATTATTTAAAATGAAAATAACACTAAAAGGGCATGCAAAAATGGCGGACATGAAAATTTGAATAAGAAACCAATATAGTGTTATTTTTACAAATGGGCAACTTATGCCAACTCGAAGCGGTTCAATTCATGATTAAATTTTCTAAGGTAATGCCAGTGAAAATGTACTTGTTTGTTACTTAAATGCATGACTATAATATACAAATGTAGTCGTGGCCATAAGGTTTTTGTTATAAAAACTTTTTTCACTAATCAAATGGTTATTATGTACTTACTTATATTGCAACTTTTGTCCTGTTCAGTGGAAATAACTGGCTACAGTGCTGACAACTGCTCGGTTTCCTACACCTCATTCAACAACGAAACACTGGTTGGGTCTGTCATCAGATCCGCCAGTGTGCTAGTTCTGCCCGAAGGATTGCACAGGACTGATACGCAGAGCGCCTACTTCTGCGCTAATGGTGAGTACTAAGGGATTTTAACGAATCCTAGGAATATAGAATCGTTTCATTCTTAAATCAAGGTTTTGTGACTGTGAATCTGATCTTTCGAAATAGGAAAATTATTATTTGTAGTTATAAAGTAATAAAAAATAACTTTGAAGCTTTGGCAACGTTTAAATTTTAATTAATAACAGAAAAAGCACAATCGTTGGATGCGGTTTTTTGAAACTTTCAATACCATTGAAGACTGTTACTGAATTTGATCACAGAAATATACCTTATCCTCATCTATTCTCAACATTCACTCACTCAAATACATACTATTGTCACTTCAATGCCATAAATTTGACGTATCCACAGAGCATTTAGCAGTATCGTCCCGTGGTTCTTGGGAATGGCAATGGGTAGCAGCGCCCAGAAACAGAGCCGGACTTGTTCTGGAGCTGAGGGCTCAGGGTGCTGCTCATGTGGCGCTCTCCACCATCAAAGAGCCCTCGGAAGACATGTACAGAGTGGTCTTCGAGAGAAGCAGAGTGTGGATCGCTAAAGGGAAACATGGTAAGTGACAATACAGACGTGTTTTTAGAACAGTGTTTCCGGGTCAATACGACCCGGAAACCTTCAAAAAAGAGCGTTTTCCTTCCTTATCATCGCATAGTTTTTGTGATACTTCTAGTGTTGTTGGTGTCTATGGGCGACGGTTATCACTTACCATCAGGTGCGCCGTCGTTTCGTGTACCCCCTGTAATATTAAAAAAAACTAGGCAGATTTGTTTACTGAAATAAATTTTAAATATAAAAGTAAGCGATTATTAGTACGGTATCTACAAATTATTAAACAATGAAATGTGATAATTTCTAACAAACAACCAAAATCGATAATATCCAAAAAAATCATTATTATTTTTAAATATTTAATAGAGTAATCTTGTGACGAACCCAAAGCATCTTGAATTGAATCACATACAATCCATTGGTTTTTACTGTTTTGTTACACATACAATCCATTGGTTTTTACTGTTTTGTTACAATTCGATTTTCAATTGCTAAACACTACTATCATTTCCTTGTATAATGTACTTCATCAAGCTGGGCTTCATTGAGAAAACCCCTAATCAAAATTCCTTAATCTATTCAGGCTACGACGTGCACTTAGCGAGTGCAGAACAGACGGAAAGTGACGAAGAATGTTCTGGTGCCGACTCCTGGTGCGCCTGGTGGGTGTGGTGGGAAGGTGGAAGGCTGTCAGTAGGCCGCGGCGCAGTGCCTTCAGAGAGACGACTGCTAGTATGGCCTTTAGCTGCTGATATGAGAATCAAATACGTGGGCTTCAGCGCTCTGTGGGGAGACAAGGCAGATTTCAGGTGAGGAGAAAATGCTTCTTTACAATCTTTTGGTGAGACTTTGTCAATAGGACGTGGTGCCGTGCCTTCAGAAAGAGGACTGCTGGTGTGGCCTTTGGTTGCTGACTTTGAAGATCAAATACGTGGGCTTAGGCGCTCTGTGAAGAGACAAGGCTGATTTCAGATGAGAAGATAATTTGTCTAAACAATCATGTGGTGGGAAGGTGATATGTAGGTTGTTATTAGGATTCATCACCCTACCTTCAGAGAGACGACTGCTTGTGAGGCCTTTAGCTGCCGACATGAGAATCAAATACGTGGCATTCAGCGCTGTGTGGGGAGACAAGTCTGATTTCAAACAATGTCTTTATACAACCATCTAATGGGAAGATGGAGAGGTTATTATTAGGACGCGGCTTCATGCCTTCAAAGAGACGACTGCTTGTGTGACCTTTAGCTGCCGACATGTGAATCAAATACGCAGGCTTCTGCGCTCTGTGGGGACAAAACGCTGATTTCAGGTGAGGGAATATTATGTTCTTTTGAGAAGGTGGGAGATTGTCAGTATGATTTAATGCCGTGCCTTCAGACAGACGACTGCTTGTGTGACCTTTAGCTGCCGACATGTGGATCAAATACGCGGGCTTCTGCACTCTGTGGGGAAACAAGGCTGATTTCAGGTGAGGGGAATATTATGTTCTTTGAGAAGGTGGGAGATTGTCAGTATGATGTAATGCCGTGCCTTCAGACAGACGACTGCTTGTGTGATCTTTAGCTGTCGGCATGTGAATCAAATACGTGGGCTTCAGCGCTATGAATGGAGACAAGGCTTATTTCAGGTAAGGAAAATATGCTTCTATACAATCAGCAATTTACCTCATACACTTTACATAACTGCTTATATAATTAGAAAATTAACACACTCCCATAAATATAAGTGATAAGAGAGTGTAGTCTAATCGTAAAGATTTTGCCGGCCTGAATTCAATCTCTAGAGATGAAAATAAGCTCCACTTACAAATCAATCATTACAATTATTTAATTCTAAAATCAAATCTTATTCATAAACATAAATACACTTTCAGAATTTGGAACTTCAACGAGGAAGCAGGATTCTCCCAAGTACTAGAACTGGATTTACCACGAGGCGTAGTTCCTGGTTCAGCGAGCGGATCTCTTCTAGTTTCTGGTGGACTCCATCTACCTCTATACAATCTACAAACTGATTCGACGGAACAATGGACCGAAGTGTGGAGAGATTCCCAACTATCAGCAGCTTCCGCTAGCTTAGCACCTTTGTTGGCATTGGAACACATACCGCATTTAGTAGAAGATTCTGAAAGAGAGAAGATTTTGAAAAAGCTTCCGGAACAGGTTGGTGTTTGAGTACTTTTGATCTCTATAAGTTTTATTTAACTGTTATATTTGGCAAGGGTTCTCAAGAAATAAATTTGGGCTTCATACAAAATAAGCAAAAAAAACTTGACTTAATATTTAAAGGAGGAGCTCGATGGCGCAGGTAGATTTCACGCACGGCCTGTAATCGTGAAAGTTAAGCAACTTTCGCATTGGACGGTCATTGGTCATTTTCGGTGGGTGACCAAAAAACTTATTATATCGAGCTCCCCTCCGCTCGAGAAGTCACGTTTAGCGATTAATCCCGGGTTCATCTGCACTAGTTAGCACCCACTTATCCACACTGGGCCCACCTGCGCCCCAGCAGTGGGGAAATTTAATGCTTGAAGTAGCAATAAAATATAGTTTATACTAACACAAATAATACACTGAACAGTTTCAAATTTTTTAAGAACGCCTAATTTCTGTTCATAGGTACAAGTGCTCCTATCATTTCGCAAAAGCGACAACTCATTCAGCGACCATCCAGCAATGAGCAGTCATTTATCCACGATCAGAATCCTAGAGATCCTTTCAAAGATTCAATCTTACTATCCCGTAGATCCAGACCTTTTGCAAAACATTAAAAAATGGATTCAAGCAAGACAAGGTTCCGATGGATCGTTCACTCCATTGCCAGCAGATAAAGAAGTTGATTATTACCCTGTTGATATAAAGAAAACTAATACTACCCAGAAAGAGGTTGATGTGAACGAATACTACTATTATGATAAAGATGGCAATATGACTCAAGATGAAATTGATTGGGAAAGGACTGTGGAAGTGACGGCTGAGACAATGGTTGCGTTACTGGAAGTCGGCGTTGAGAACCAGGTAAGCGAGAACATCGATTTTACTCTACTGAATTAAATCTGAAGGAATTTATAAGTAATTTCTTTACACTTGCTGAATTTTATTGATTGTTTGAGGATTTGGGATCTCAATGCGAGACATAATATTTGTTAATAGCTATATAACCATTGTCAAATCTTTCCGCGTCTAAGCTTTTTAATTTTGTAAGTTGAGTGGTTCTCGAACTTGAAATAACAACTGTTTAAAAAATTATATGCTATTATAAGCATTAAGTATGTATATATTCTAAAAACATTTGTTTGCTGTTATTTTAATTATTTCAATTAGGTACAATTTAACCCATTTTACATACAAAATAAATACGTAAAATTTTAGGTGGACGCAAATACTGTGAAAAAAGCTCAAAGCTATCTGGAGAAGAATTTGTACAATTTGACTTCACCCGCGGCTCTTGCTGCTACTGTTTTAGCACTCGTCCTTGCAAGGTAATTTTTAAAATAATGTTCTAAGTAAATCCTATCTACGGTATCTAAGGTAAATTCTTTAAATATTAAAGATATTATTTATTCAGCAGAAGCCTTTAAATAGGCACTTATTGACGTCAATACAAATTTAACACTACGGTCCAGAAAGGATTTGCTGCTTTTATTCCACCTCAATTAAAAAGGAAACTGCAATCTCTGATACTGTTAAAGATTCATTGCAACAGCAGAATTTATTAAAAAAATATCTTTTTCTTTGATAAGAGAATCCAATTTCATCAAAATTTATGTTTTGCTAAACTAATAGAATCCAATTTCTAGTTAAAGAAAAATTACAAAAATACCTTTTCAAATTCCAGAAGTCCCATAGTGCCAGAAGCTCTAATTATACTAAGGAATGCTTCAACGACCGAGGAAGGTGAATTCGGCTGGCCAGCTCCTAGGAAGGATGCTGCTGACTGGCTTCTAGAAGAAACATCAAGAAATATTAAGACTACATCTTATGGTAATTTTTTTGACCTAAAACGATTCCGTTTTTTTTTTTATAAAAAAAATATAAATTGTAAGAAAAGAGAAAGAGAGAGAAGTACATAAATAAATATTTCCAACACTCACACCAATTAGCCTAGCCCCAAAGTAAGCACTGTAAGGCTTGTGTTATGGGATGCTAGGGTAACGGATAGAATACATACACAGTACATATATAAGTATATTTATATAGAAATACATATTAAACATCCATGACTGGAGTATAAATGCTCGTATTCATCACACAAACACCTGCCCCCACCGGGATTCGAACCCGGGACCTCTCGAGTCGGCGACGCCATGAAACCCGGCGTACAAACCACTCGACCACGGAGGTCGAAATTTATAATAAAAATAAAATTAGAATATTTTAATGTAATATGTTACATTAACTGTATAAAAATAATTTTGCATGGCATTTATCTGAACTTAGCCCGTGGGACTGAGGCTCGACCTGTATTAGTCGGGCTCCGCATATATATATCTTCATATGAGCCTCAGAACTTTGTAGACTTTCAAAACATTCGTCGATTTCATATGGCCATAATTAGGTGCTCCACTAGCAGCGCTATCTATTGACATCGCGAGTAAGGTCTGCCTCTGTTTAGTCATAAGTATGTGGGGCGGGTAGTTGTTACCGCCACAACGTAGCATTCAGTAGTTTACTATACAATTTTCAACTTCCTTTGAGGTAAAAGGTAAACAAACTATAAAAAGGTTATTCAGTAGGTAGAAATTTATAAGCATGTAAAGTTAGTATAAAAAAAGCGACACTAAAAAGGCCTAAAACAGTAGTAGCGTGAGCGTGACTATTCCCAAACTTTGAATAGTACATTATTAATACTGTCTCAGTTAAATTTTAAAATTCAGTATTTTGTATAATTCCGATTAAACAGAAGCGGTAGCAATAATGGATTAATACGTAGCTAGGGTTCGAGTACTTTTAACCGATTGCGCTCTCGGTGCTCTCGACCGCCTGTTTTTTTTTTACTAGTGCGCCTTCGCCTTTCTTGAAAGACTCTATTTAAATATTTAGAATTGAGAGGCCTCGTAGAGCTGTCTTAGTAAACTTTTAAAATTCAGTATTTCGTATAATTCTAATTAAAAAGAAGCGATAATAATGGAGCAATACGTAGCTGGGCTTCGAGCACTTTTAACCGATTGCGCTCGCGTGTTCTCGACCGCCCGTTTTATTTACAGCTGCGCCTACGCCTTTCTTGAAAGCCTCTATTTAAATGGTTTGACTGGGCTCGTAGTTCTGTCTTAGTTAACTTATAAAATTCAGTATTTCGTATAATTCTGATTAAACAGAAGCGATAATAATGGAGCAATACGTAGCTGGGCTTCGAGCACTTTTAACCGATTGCGCTCGCGTGCTCTCGATCGACCGTTTTATTTACTGCTGCGCCTCCGTCTTTCTTGAAAGCCTCTATTTAAATGGTTTGACTGGGCTCGTAGTTCTGTCTTAGTTAACTTTTAAACTTCAGTATTTTGTATAATTAGTGACAACCTCCTTGGCCGAGTGGTTTGTACGACGGGTTTCATGGTGTGGCCGACACGAGAGGTCCCGGGTTCAAATCCTGGTGGGGGCAGATGTTTGTGTGATGAATACGATCATTTGTACTCCAGTCATGTTTGTTTAATTTGTATTTCTATAAAAAATTACTTATTTAAGTACACTATATGTATTCTATCTGTAACCCTAGTATCCCATAACACAAGCCTTATAGTGCTTACTTTGGGGCTAGGCTAGTTGGCGTGAGTGTTGGAAATATTGATTTATTTAATTCTGATTAAACAGAAGCGGTAACAATGGAGCAATATGTAGCTGGGGTTCGAGTCCTACTAACTGCTTGCGCTCGCGGCGCCTTAGCCGAAGGAGAAGCCGCAGCCCGATTCCTGTACTACCGAGCTTCAACATTGCAACGACATCCAAGTCTGGCCTACCCTGCTACCAAGGGAGCCGCACATTATGCCGCGCTAGCTCACGATCGGTGAGTGATGGAGACATGTAGATACTGTGGCCTCACCACAGAACACGGAAAGAGGTTAGAAGAGTGATCATAGACCGTTTGTAGGGGGAACGATGTCGCCGGCTCGCCTCCACTACACTTCCACCTAATAGATAATAGCCAATCAAACGACGCGACATCAAACAATTGAACCAATCAGCGCTCACACCACGACCACCACAACGTCATCAAAACCCAGTTTTGGACAGGTTATGATCATTTGTTCACACGTAATAACTGTGGCGCGCCTGCTTTGCCCCAAAGGTCCTTACCTCTGTCTGTGTTCTGTGGACCACACCATAGGGGCCGCGCACTATTCTGCGCTAGCTCACGACCTGTGAGTGAGCGAGATAGGAGACACTGCGGCCACACTGTGCTGCGCTTGCTCACGACCGGTGAATGAGGGAGACAGCAAAACACTGCGGCCACACGCTTCCTGTACCGCCAGCCGCCACGCTGCGGCATAAGTTTAACTTCTCTTCCTTTCTAATTATCCAAAAGAATCCAACAACATTAAATCTGTTTGCAAAATGTGCATGTTTAGGCTCAACTCACACTGGTCGTAATGACGTGTCATTTGTTTCTATTTTTCCACTATTAAGGTATTCCCGTGGCGAAAAACATGAAGCGTCGATCCGACTAACTAACTTCTGACTTCGCTCAATTTACTTAATTCGATTATTTCCGATTACAGGCACAGAGCTCTCACGGTGTCCTTAGCGACTGCAGGAATGGAACTAACAGACACACTAGAATTAAGAGCCAGGACTCCACCACGTCCTCTACAGTTGCCTGGTTTACCGACGAAAGTATTTGTTTATGCCACTGGTGCAGGATGCGCTACTGTTCAGGTTTGTATATAGATATAAGTTTATTTATTACTAAAGATCACTGAGTAGGAAATATTAACTGAACCTTCAGTGTCCTTAGCGACTGCAGGAGTAGAAGTAACAGATACTTAAGAACTAGGACGTTCAGTTGCCTGTTTTACCGACGAAAGCATTTGTTTATGCCACTGGTGTGGGAGTGTGCGGGTTCAGGTTTGTAAAAAAGTTGAATAAGCAATTTGTTTTAACAGACAAACGCACATGGACATTATATTGAAACTGAGTTTCATATTGTCTTTTGTTAGTAATATCAGGGATGTATGGGAGTGCGGCTTGGTTGTATGGGATAATTTATACTAAGTCACAGCTGCTTATTTCCAATTCCAGAAAGTAAATGTTTTTCAGCAGGTAAAATATAAGCGAAGGCTTTGGCAAGTCCACTCCACTTTACACTATGTGGATATAAACTTCCATTACTAATAATTTTCTATAATTAAGCAACATACAAACCTTAACATTATAATTTTACAGGGCACAATAATTTACTCTACGTATACACCAAAGCCTGAGAACGCTTTACTGAATATCCAAGCCGCCATCATTGAAGAAATAAGGCCGGAAAGAAGCAGCATAGAAGAATTGCAAGGCAATCTACCCACTCTGATTATCAAAACTTGTTTCAAGTAAGTTTATTTTTCATATCTATTTTTCTTTCTTTGCACTCCAATATCTCAAAATACTCTAAGGACCACTTGCACCAAAGTTCCTAATTGAAATTAAGGCTTAATCGTGTTTAAGACGTTATTCCATCTTCTTCAACTGTTTATAGTAAAATAGAGAGAGACTGAGGCATAAAAATTAATTAAGTTTTAAATTAGAATTAAGAATTTATTTGTTATGTTTCCACGCACACACCATTCATTTAATAAAATACTTTCAACGGGTTTAAAATAAAAGTATTAAAAAACGCATTTGAAACCCTCTGAAATAGTGTTTTATTTTCAATTCATAATTTGGTGCAAGTGGCCCTTAGTCATTGATCAAAACACCTTCATATGCGCTAATGTAAAAATTGGCTAACATTTAAACATAAATTCTGCGTTATTAATTGTGATAACCAAACTGCAACTTAACCAAAGGCACAGAATATATACACTACGCGAAAAGAAGCGACACTTAAGCATGTGTGCTCGTAAAATCGCCCGCGGCTATGTGTGGGTGTCTGGAGGTGCGCGGGGGCGTTGCGCGGCGCGCGGGGCGTGGAGACGGCAGTCGCCGACTGCCTCGACCGAAGGGATGGCAGTAGCGAAATAGTAAAATAATAGCGTTGCACTGCATTGCACGCACAGACTGACTACGCTACGCAATCTTATTATTATTTAGATTATAATAAGAATTATAAAACGAATCGAAAAAGGAGAAAACATATAAAAGTTAGCAATTTGTTATAGTACCTACATTAAAAGATTAAAAATTGATTATAAAATCAAACCTATCCTTCATTATTTACCCCAGTATCCTTGAATCAGTTTACATTTAATAACTTACTATGCATAAATATTCATTGGCACAAGTCTAAATTCCAAGTTCAACCCTAGCGCATACACGCTCCTGCTCAAGGTCACTGACGCTGGAACTCTCACGTACACAGAGTGTCACCGCTGTGCCAAAGGTGCAAATGGTCCTTAATAATTGATTAAAACACGTTTATATGAGCTAATGTAAAATTTGGCTAAAATTTTAACATAAATTCTGCGTTATTAATTGTGATAACCAAACTAATATGATATTATTTTCAGATGGAAAGGAAAAGAACGATCAGGGATATTGCGTCTTGAATCTTCCTTATTTTCGGGATATGAACTGCATTCCGTTAACCCTGTGGTATTGGATGGCGCTACTTTCGCTGACTTACACTACGGTTCGAGAGGGGAATCTGTATGGTTCGTGTTTGCTAATGTAAGTGACAAAATAAACACATTTATCGATGTTTTCACACACTCCAATCATTAAATAGAAACAACTTTCAACTAATTATATGGCGCGTGTAATATTATTATCATACTTGTGAACACGGAACCTGTAAATGGCCAAAAACATCAAGTATAATGTCTGCTCTCGGGTCGGATAGAGTACAATCGTTGCGAAGTATAATGCGAAGAGATGGCGCTACAGTGTGGCCTAATAAATACTAGAAAAATTTCGACTCGGCCATTAAGGTCGTGATAGCATCATTGGTCAGTGTATCAGGTCAAAATGTAGTATGGATAGCGAAGGGTGTGGATTTGAGTCCCGTCTGCTTCCTGGACCTCGTAGATTTTTTTTAGTAAAATTTTCTTTAGATTACAACATATTGCAGTTGGATGCTTTAGAAAAATATTATAAACGATATATCGTCGTCAAACCTATATTTGAGGAAGAGGTTGTTTAAAATAATATGCCATGTGCATCAGTCCGAATATTGTTAAATATTAACTGTTTTGTTAAAGTTTTATATTTTGCACATATCAGATATTGGTTTGAAAACGACCATATATACGACGCGGCGAATAGGGCCGTGGTAGCATAATGGTCAGTGCATTCGCCCGGATTGCGAAGGGTGCGGGTTCGAGTCCCGTCTGCTGCCTGGTCCGCGTGGATTTTTTTCTAGTAAACTTTTCTTCAGATTTAAACATCTAGCAGTTAAATGCTTAAAAATAACTAAAACGACCATATAGATTGATGAGAGATTTAAATGCTTAAAATTAAATAAAAGAAAAACATAACTATAATTGCTATTTCTTCTTTCAAATGTTTAATACTTGAAAAAGTATTCATTTGACATTGTGGATTACCTACAATGCGAAGAGATGGCGCTGCCTTGCAGCTTAAGGCTAGGAAAAATTTCGACGCGGCGAATAGGGCCGTGGTAGCATAATGGTCAGTGCATTCGCCCGGATAGCGAAGGGTGCGGGTTCGAGTCCCGTCCGCTGCCTGGTCCGCGTGGATTTTTTTCTAGTAAACTTTTCTTTAGATTTAAACATGTAGCAGTTAAATGCTTAAAAATAAATAAAATAAAAAAAAGAACATAACATATAGATTGAGTTAAGAACTTTTTGAAAATCTCTCACTGTTTATCTTATTAGTCAATATGAATTTACAGATCAGCTCAACCTGCCCAGTCTGCGTCACCTACGAGGCAAGATCTAAATTCGTCATCACCAGTCTTCGTCCAGCTTTTGCTAAAATTTACCCTTCAACCCGCCCAGATTTAGCTGTCGAAACATTCTTCCACGCTAGACCTGGAAGTCCTTTACTCAGAGGTATAACTGATGATGATTTCATCACCTGGTTTGATAAAACGGAACTCGCTAGTCTTCAAACTACAGCCAATATTGATAATATTTGTGAGTGTGGGCGAATTTGCAGCAGAGACTATGAATTTAGAAAAAACGATGACCAATCTACTGAGGAAATAACAACAACAAAAACTAGTTCAACTGCAGAAACAAGTAGCTCCACTACATCTCCTATTTTTATGTCTACTACAACCGAACGTAATATCCAAACTAGCGAAATTTTTGAAAATATTACCGCGGCAGATAACATGATTACTGATAAATATATTTCTACCACACATAATACTTTAGAAGTAGTAACAGAAGCAACGGAAGGAATTACTAACATTTCAACAACCAACGAAATTAATAATAAAGTTGGAATCATTGATGAACCAATAATCATACCGACTGCTATTTCAGTAAACTACACTAATGTAATTAAACTTTCAAAGTTTGAAAACAATATACCTATTATACCGAAACATAATGGAGAATTGATCGTACAAAAAGTAATAATGTCGAAATCAATTTTGAAAAAAGAGGAATTCAAGAAAAATCCTTTGCCGCGTAGAAAAGGCACATTAAAGGCAACATACGGTGATAAGGTATTTGAAAAAACAAAATCCACTAATACATCAAGCATACACAACAACTTAATCAGTAAATTTGTCCCACAAAATATTACAAAATCAAAAGATGCAACTTTGAATAATACCCATTTAAACAAAGATAAGAATGTTGAAAATAAATCGCAAAATATTAATACTGATGACACGAAACTAATCATTATACCCAAAATTGAAACACAAACAACCGTAGAACCCTCAGTCTTAAAGAAAACTTTGAAAGTTCACGTGGAAACTTCCACTGTACCACACACTATTGCCGCGATTACAAATAGCAACATAAAAACCATGCATTATAGAACTAAGAAACCGAAAGCAATTACACAAATAAAGAAACCTCGTATAGAATCTAATCACACTGATACAGTGAATCAGAAAAACCAAACAAAGTTATCGGAGTACATAGTTAACAAAACCAAAATCAAAAACATTAATTCTGAAAAACGGATAGCGAAACCCTTAAAGTCTATAAACAAAGAAATACATAAAATACCACCAACTCCAATGTCGGAAACCTCAAAAATACTATCTGAAACGCTGAAACCAGACATTGCACCAGAAAATAAAGGTGGCTTCGACATATTGGACAAAAACAATCTTTGGGAATTGCTCAAAGAAGGTTCAGATTCTGATATATCTAAAATAGATGATAAGTTACAAATGCATAACAAGCTAAACACACTAACGCAAAATCTACCTAACGCGACACAAAACGAGAATCGTTCTTTATAAACTTTATTGTTATATATTTTATAAGACACAAAGACTCCGTAAATATTTTTGTAACACTCTCACGCCACTACCTGTAATGATGAATGAACTTGTTAATTGTAATTAACTACCACTTCATATGGCATTTCCTAAGCACACAAATTGTTGATTGTAAGAAGGAAGTCTGCACTTGTCGTTTGTATTATTTACCAAAAAGATGTAATAAAGTACGCGTTTGTAAATATTAAATTAAGGTATGTTAAGATACGCGCTGTGACTACTGTTGATGTGTGAATATTCTACGCCCAATTGCTCAAAGCCCGAGGTAAGTTCCAAATATGACGTTATTGTATTACTGTCTTAGAAACAATTTAACACGAGCTAGGAGATGTTAGTTGGCTTGGTAGAATTAGCTTCGTTTTTGTAAAGGAATTCAGACTAAACTATTTGACAACGTAAAAAAAGGCTTGTAGAAAATGCGTGACTAAAATTTTAGATGGGCTAGAATGATAGATGCTATATGTAGTAACAGGCTACCTGACTATTGAAATTTATACTACCTAACAGGATTATGAACTAAATAACTTTAAAATTCATTGGTAGCCTTCTAGATTTGAATTAACATTATTTTTACTCGATTAAGAATATAAAGAGTTGCCAAAAATCTAATGTAATATTTGATCTGAAGTATAGGATTTTCTATTCTGTTCTTTTAGGAACAAAATTATTTACCCCCCTAGTATCTAAATACCGATAGGTGAAATCTAGTGTTCTATAGATGTAAAGTAATGCTAATGCCCCAGAATTTCCATCCGTCTAATCTATCGTCTTCTGTATCTATTGTATGTAAATCTTAGTCTCTTATCGTAGTTGTTTGTATAATTTCGTTTTGTTATTGATGATCAATGACACAATTGATCGTTTCTATTAGTAAATGTAAATTTTAATTGAACTAAATTTATAACTTACAAATGAGAAGGTACCTTATTTAAGTTGTATGTTAGTTCATCCGTCCGGACTGAAGCAGACGCAGGTTCGAGTCATGTCTGAAACCTTGACCGAGTTTTTTTTAGAATATTTTTTTCTAGTAAAATTTTTAAGAATATTGATGTTCATCAGTATTATATAAATATTCGTTTTGAGCTAGTGGATCATTGTGGGTAAATCACAGATAGTTAATGACATCAGTACAACTTACTGTAATAATACCAATAATTTTAATCATGCTTTTACTAAAATCTCCTGTCTCTCTTAATTATTCCAGATTCATTATTCCTACTTTTAATTTTCGTGAAGTAATGAAGTAAAACAAATATTTTATATCGAACAATATTAAATAAACAGTAGCGTTTTATCAAAAATGAAAACTTACATAATTTGAGGAAATAAGATTACACGATAGAATTGTGTCATTGATTTTCGATAATCTGTAGAGTCGTTAGGATTCATGCGAGATGTGTATTTTGATTAGGCTATTCCTAAATTTTCTGTACCCATTCTCCTTCCAATATTCTAAATATTGAATAAATATAGCACTATGTTTACCCTAAAATTTGTATTTACGTCCGAGTGTCCTTAGAGAATAACACCAGGAAATTCCTCTTTCTATATACCTCTAGTTACTAATAATAAAAATGTTGCATAAAATTATAGATACTGAATGCAACTTTGCTCTTGAAGCATCTTAAATTAGTCGTTATTCTAGTTCGATTTGCTCTCTAATCGAACTGTAATAACAAATTATGTGTGAATGGTTATTGCGTATGTCCATTGTGTTTGCGTGGGAAATGTGCAAATCGTCCAAATGATTCGTCTTCAAATATTTTTGGGTTAACTGGTTCCTACCGAATTAGAGCTGGGAATTCTACTTATAAAAATAACGAAAAGTATGAAATAGTAAAATAATAGGTCATAGTGGCTTGATCACCCAAGCCATTTTTAGGCGCTGACTCTCATAATACTGATAAATGGCCACATAAATTTTATTTGTGTTTGATTATTTCATAATGGTGATATTAATTCAGCTCATAGGATAGGATAGCTTTCCTCCATGTTATCTAGCATTTTTATGTATTTTGCTATAATGGGAAAGTTAAATGACTTTCACTTTATTTTGAAAACATTATCAACCATTATAAAAATAAAAATATAATTAAACATACACCTACATAAAAAATAAACATATTCAACAATTCGGAATAACTAAGATTTAATTGAATTTTTAAGTACCTATTTTATGCACAATATTCTGTACATATTTCATTAACATTTAAGCACTATTTGAAATGTATAAATGTACGGTTGTATGAAACTAGGTGCTTGTGCGGAGGATTTCGTCAATTTGAAATAAAAACACTGTATAAAAATCTCCTGTGTCGATGTAAGTTAAAATGTTTGTGCTTATAATAAGCTAGTCACTATAAGTATACCTCGATGTACTGACAGATCTTATTATTAGAAAAGATAAAGATGGTAAATCTAAATTATGATATTTTATTTGCTCAACCACCACTCAATGCGTTGTTGTGTAATACTTTTAATTTTCCTGTAGCTTACTTAATTCACCTAGGTTAATTCGCCTCGGTATTTTTACTATAATTCTATTTGTAAGCTATATCCGCTACTTCTATATTGTTTTCCCCAAAAAATATAACTCTTGAAAGTCCTCAGAAATTTACTTGCTATGCAAATAATTATAAGAAGATTAATTTGTTCTGTACCACAAAAGTGAAGTGAACTTTACTACTAATGACCAAGGGCCCGTTGATCAATAATAATTACTCAAGTGCACTCAAGCATATAAGTCAAATAATGGTATGAATTCTGATATGATTCTCTAAACCTAAAATTAATGTGACAACAGTCATCTATCCTCGTCATGCTCCGTACAGAATGGAGAGAATGAAGATAAAAGTGCCAGAATCGACACCGGTATTTACTCAAAGTAAACTAAAGTACTGCACCCCGATGATTAATGTTTATGAAAGATATATATAATGCATTTAGGTGAACTAACCAGAGTATTTTTTTTCTATATAAGCACCAGCAAGTAACTTACGAGTATACCTGATATTGAATGTAAGTGGTGTCCAGAAGCGGAGGTAGGTAATTTCTGGTGTAAAACTGTGTTCTGTTCTACATGTTGTACCTTACCCCTCTAAAAACGTTCTCAACCCCGTGGAGTCACAGTTCTGCGCGAGCTCTTATTTTATTTGATTCATAAACGCGTTGATACTTTTAGAGACGGTTTATATTTTTGCAGCAATCATAATCAAAATCATTTCTACCGTTTAGGCTGTTACAAGCACTCATGAATGTTACAAGCTACGCCATCGGTTCGTAAATCTACGGCGGGAGACCTTGTACTGAGAAGAACCGGCAAGACATTCAGCAAAGGCTGTTTTTTTCTCCCTGTTTTATTATTTTTACAGTCGTCAAGTTGAAAAATGACTTCAGAGATGATTCATGAAGTCACCTTTCATTACATAATATGAAATATACACCAACGCTTTATCTGCATTTTGATTGCTGTGTCATACAGTATAAATTATTTATATTAGGTAGGTACATTAACATCTTCAATATTAAAGTAGTTAGGACAGACCCATCTTCACGGGCAGCACCCGTTCACGAGTATAACGCATGAACCAGCCATCGCTTCGCTGAACCATATTTTAGGGAACGTAACGACCCGCCTCACATGACACCACTGTCGAGACAGTGTGCATGATTACCTATAACCACCTATACTAACAACATATTTACTTAAAAATAAGTTAATTTTTCTGTACGGCGACAGTGCAAAAAAATACAAAATTAATGGAGAAAACACGACCTTGTCTTTCAAATATTCTTAAAAAGTCTGATTGATAGTCTTCCTTACGTAATCAACTTGAAATACAGTTCTTTCAATTCAATTACAGTATCGTCAACACATGATTCATAATAATTTATATCATATAGAAATACACCTGTTGGAATGGTTAGAACAATTCAAACCCAATTGTCTGTAATATAATCAGACACTTTATAATAAGCTTTCTCCACTGCATTGTCATGGCTGTTTTATCTCTTCTCCTTGCAAAATCTTTCAATGTTTATTTTAAGATAATCTACTCACTCAAAAAGGTGATGGCAGAAAATCGGTGTTTTGCCTTTGGTCTTTTGTTTTCTGCAGCATACATATGGGTATTCATAGCCGATTTCTTGTATCTTTTCATTTTTTTTAGTTGTATTATTCTGAAATGTATATGTATGTTGAAGAAAAAAAAAATAAACGCATTATCTATCTATCTATCTTTCTCAACAAGTGATTTTTAATGGTCGATTTAAATTTAATCTGGCTTAAAATATTGCTAGAAACTTTATTGTAAAAGCGAACACAGTGACCTCTAAAATAATTTTTTGGAGCCTAGTAGCAGGTAAAGTAAAATTATTTTTACCTCTAGTATTAAGTGTATGTATTTCACTATTTTTAGTAACTAATCTAATATTTTCTTTAACAAATAATAAGATTTCATATATGTATTGTGACGCAACCGTCATTATGACTATTTCTTTAAACTTATCTCTTAAGGGTTCCTTATCTTTAAGATTATTATATTTGTTTCTTAGGTTTTCACGCACATCACTCATTGAATAAAACTAGGTTTTTACGGGTTAATGCACGAAACTTTATTGATTTATTGACGTTTCAAATAAAAATTTGATTCCGACGACGTAGCCTGTAAAGGCTACGAAACGTCAATAAATAAATAAAGTTTCGTGCATTAACCCGTAAAAAACTAGTTTTATTTAATATTATTGATTGATCGAATAACCCTTTTCTGCAACACAAATATATTTTGATTTTGTCGGCGGCATTTCCCCACAATGAAATACCTGTAAGACATCATACTATGAAAATAACTAAAGTAGACTAATCTGTTTCTATATCTGTCAACTGACGTATTTGCATAACAGCATATGCTGCAAAACTAAGCCTCTTCGACCACTTATCAATATGTGGGCCTCATTGCAGCTTAGAATCTAGTGTGATTCCTAAGAATACTGTATTATACCTTTATATTTACATTGGTATTTACCTGTTTGACATTAGTTAATACAAATTTCAAACACTTAGTTTTCCTTCATTTAGCAGTAAATTGTAAACGTTGAACACTGGTTCAACGTTAATAATTTACTGCTAAATGAAGGGAGTAAGTAGTCCACTGGGACTACCCTAGAAATAGACTTGTTCACGTCGTCAATTTGTGACTGCCTACGTTTAATTTTAAACAAAAGTGAAGTACAATACCATTTCGTCGTTATTGGAACGAAGTTCCTTACGGCAGACTTGGAGGGGATAGGGATTTGGCTGCGCGACCGAACTGAAAAAAATGTGATAGTAAAACCGTAAGAAAAAATCCGTGGAAAAGTGCGTGGAATAAAACCGTTAAATGAGACGTGCGCAGGCGCGACAGTCGCATACACAAGCTAGTTTGCAATTTGTGTCGATTCTACATTAGCCGAAGGAACTTCGTTCCTACCTGGTGTCCCACGACACCACATCATTTTTTCTTTACAAAATAACTTTTTAATTTAAATCAATGACTTTGATATAAATTAAAAATAAGAAAGGACCAAGGATTGAGCCCTGTGGAACTCCCATCTTAACGGAAGAACCAGAAGATTTAAAATGATGAATGAATGAGTATGTTTTAACAATGCAACTGGAATGAAAACCATACGTTACCGACCTTCACACCAAACCGTAACAGTGTCACAGTGTGTTGGTGTGAACTGGATTATTGGGCTCGAAGGCTTCCTGGAATAATTTAAACCGGCTATAAAACCGCTTCACGGAATTTCGTTGCACCAATCTTAAATGAGGGTGAATTACTTGTTATGTAGGTATGCCTTCTACTATTCATTGCATCGGATCTATAGTCTATAGTCGTGTCTTCAGACATGCGGACTCGTAAGTTAAAAAACAAATATCAAGTCAGACAAAGCAAATTGTTGCTTTGATTGTTGGAACTCTTTGTTCAATCAAAAATACATAAATGTCAACTATGATTTTCTGTTTGATT